TTTTGATTGTGGTTTTTATTACATTTTTTATGAAATGGGAAAGGACATGGGATGAACCATTGCCTGCCCGCCTTGCCATACCAAAAGCTGTTTTCCCTTCCATATTTATTTCCCATTTTGCATTATGGATGATATAAGAGCTGAAGGCTAAATCTTTCTTAATTATTGAAATGAGGCCACACTTGTGTTATATTTTTACACTGCAGGCAGAAGACTTTATGTCTTCCAAGTCACCAGGGACCTACAGACAGTTAGTTCAAATCAATATTTGGAGAGGAGCCATACAGCTCAGGGATGGAGCACATCCTTTGCATGCAGAAGGGCCCACTTTCAGTCCTTGATATTTTAAAGAGATCTTGGGCATCAGAACCAGGACACCTTTGCCTGATCTCCTGGAGTGTTGTTGCCAATGTGAGAGACAATACTGGACTGAATAGACTCATAGTGTACAAAGTTTATTGCTTGCCAAATTAAGCCGGTTTACCTCTTCCCAATTCAATCCTGGATCCGGGATATGCCCAGATGTTATCAGACATAAATCACCACCAATTTAGCCATGATGCCACTGGCCAAATCCATCCTGGGTCGAAGCCTCACTCAGCTGGTGCCTTTTTGAAGTCAGGGAGCTTCTGACTTCAAATATTGGCCAGCTCAGTGAGGCTCCGACCCAGGATGCATTCGGTTGGCGGCATCACAACTAACTCAGCATCGATTTATGTCTGATAACATCCAGGGGTATCATGCATCCAGGACTGAAGCCAGAAGAGGTAACCCAGCTTAATTTGGCGAGTGATAAGCTCCTATGACAGGTTTCTGTGTTCAGTCTTCTCTCAACTGTACTTATTTCATTGCATTTTTTATCTGGGCTTTTCATCCTTGGATGAAAAAGGCATGGTTCTTTCTTATTTTTAGATTCACAACAACCCTGTAAGAAAGAATAGACTGATACGTAGTGCCTGGCCCACAGTTACACCTTTAGGTCTAAATGGGGATTTGAATTTAAATCTCCCCAGTCCTATTCTGATACTCTAACCACTATCCTATAAGTTTTAAAAAATTGTGAGAGGAAGAGCCATACTAGGTCAGAATGGAAGTCTTCCTATTCCAGTACAGTTTGCATAGTGGTCAAGTAGATGCCTATGGGAAGCTGCAGGACACAGACACAATATCATCTTCCAGCTTGTACTCCCTCCTCCAACTAGTATGAGTGTCATCCTGCCTATGATACTAGAGATAATATCTAGCCATCATGACTAGTAGCCATGGATAGCCTGATCTTTCATGCTCCACATGCTTGGAACATGTCTGTTAGCTCAACATGAGATCTCCCACTGTTCAGTAGCTCCACAGTCTCTCTGCTGATCAAAATAAAATAAAAATTTAAAAGCCCTATACCTGTCATATTAGAAGATATAAGCCACTGTTGATCACTGGACAGCTGTTTAGTGGAGACTGTTATTATTAAAAATATTAACTGCTCTTCAGCTTTAGCTTGCACAGCAATGATGACAACCTTGTGTGTGTGCTTACCTTCAAGTCGCCTGTTGACTTATAGTAAGCCCATGAATTTAGGGTTTTCATAGGGTTTTCTTAAGCAATGAATACTTAGAAGTGGTTTTGCCAGTCCCTTCCTCTGAAATGTAGCCTGCAGCTTCTGGTATTTGTTAGTAGTCTCCCATCCAAGTACTAACCAGGGTTCAGCTTCCATAGCTTTCAGGATCTGACGGGATTCTGATGCCTTTTAGGTATTTAGGTTATATCTCCCAAATGTACTGACTGGCCTTTTAAAAAATTGCCTGCTGGGGGCTGGCAGCAGAGGGACAGGCAGCTATGTCGCTATATGACTGGGCTTTTCTTCTCCAGAAAACTATCTAGTTCTATGCGGGGGTGTAGAACTCAGACCTTCCTCACCTTCAACAATGCCTGCAGCATAGGTCCAACTTAATTATTAATTAAAAATTACTCACAAAAAGAATATTACCTACATTATGCTTTCCTTATTCCTCAATAAATCTCACTAATGTGTTTTTATTAATTCATTTCCATCTGTCTAATGG